TTTTTTTCTGTTTTGTACCAATGAGTGAGAAACGGCATTTTGGTTTATTTTACAAGTAATTTTTGAAAATGTTTAATATTCCCTGCGATTTAAAAAATTGGTTTGGAGGGCCCTTCAGAGGAGCACTGCAGTGAAAGAGCGGCTGTAGCCATTGTTAAACGCTGGTTATTCATTCAAGCAATCTTTCGGTATTATGATTGAATAAAGATAAGGTCAGAATAGATTAACCTACCAGCCCCTTTAGGTCAAGCCAGTGGCTTTATTGTCCATTGCTGATGAAGCCTTTTGATGGAATGAAAGAGGTAGTTAGACATTTCACACAGTTTAAATTTACAAGCATTCTCTGGAAGTGGGTAAATAGGTTGTTTGTTGTAACTTGCTATGGCTGGCCTTCTGTCTACATTAGGTGGGAACACTCGAAAAATTTAACTTGGCTCTCTTGCGCTGGGAGCTGCTTTTGTTCTTTGGTTTTGTCCCAGGTGTCTGTGAAAAGCCTCTCTCTCTTTATCTTGTGCTGGATAAACATTCTGTTGCTAAGAGTGGTGCTGTGCGAGACATTTACTGAGGGGGAAGATCTTTGCATCGAATTAACTCTGTCCTTTTGGAGTGTTTTCGTTTGTTGCTTTTTGAATGATAAAGTGCCAACAGCACACTTTACAGTCCGGGAAAAGAGTGTTCTGATTTTAGCAGCTTTCAGATACCTTTCAGATTTCACGTTCCTTGCAGCAGAAAGAATTGACTCAGGCACGCTAAAAAAAAGCACTTAACTCATTTGTATGTAGTGGTGTTTACTTGTACGATTTTCATGCACAATTTACTTTTATATACACAGTTTTTAGTACTGTTGGTGTAGTCAAAACAAAGCAGTAGAGTTAGCCTTGCTGCCTACTGCTGAAGAAATGAAGTCTTAACTGATTTTTATGCACTTAAAGCAGACAGCACCATTAATATTAGACTCATACTGATGAAATAATCCTCAAGAGCACTGTGATAAAAGAAATGAATTTTCAGCTGTCCAGCTCTGAGGACATAGTGGTGGGAATTAGATTTCAGGGGGAAGAGAGCAACTTTTTCGGAAGGGGGGACACCCAGAAAGAATGTTTTTTGTTTTCTTTTTGAGCTCTTACCACCTTTTGTGCTTTGATAGAAGTTAAAAGGCAGTTTCGAGGACCTGCAAATGCCACAAGTATTAATAATAAAGACCTTTCTCATGTGAATGGGAGTTTTGATATGAGTTGGGTTAAATATTCCCTGTGCACTGCCTCAGTACTGTAGTTGGCTGTTGATACTTTGTTTTGGTTTTTCTCCTTGCAATTGAAAATGTTGTTTAGGTAGCTTTGCCCACAGCTGAAATGAGACAGTTTTCACAGGTGCTGGATTTAGCTGTGCAAAATAATTAGTCTAAGACTTGATTAAGTGTGCCACAGCTGTGGGCTAGTACTCTCTGTTCCAAATGGAGTCTCAGGCAAGGTGGAGTAGGTGCAGGTATGTAAGTGTTCCAGAGTGTAACAGGAGCGGTGTAACTGAGGAGAATGTGCCTGTTGTAATGATCCTGGCCTGTCACCCTCTGGCTCTACACGGGGGCCTTTGTTTGGGATGCATTTTGGACCCGGTCAGTCTGTCCCATCCAAAGATGTGCCTGCCTTTCTGTCTTTCTCCTATGCCTGCAGCCTGAAAAGCCCAGGAGGCCTATTTAAATGGATGATCAAATGGGATGCTTTCATTTTGTAAATTGATTTCCCCTTTGATAACCTGAAGATTCTCCTTTAAACTTACTGGTTTTTGTCCCAGTACTTTTTTAGGCTTGCATGTAATTAAATGAATTGTTTTAAAAGTATGTCTTTGTGGTGATGCTACATCTTACTTGGCACAGCCATCCTTCTGTGAACCCCACCCCCCAATGCCCTTGTGCAGTCCCTGCGCTCCTCGGGGCACTTCCAAGTAAGGCAGCTCACTCATTGTTAGTGGATTAGAAGTGGTGTGGGTGTGCAGGCTGAAAGTTGCTGTCAGAAGGGGTATCAATGGTCTGACAGGCAAGCTTTGTTGTGGGCAGACAGCAGAGAGAACCTGGCCTCCCTTTTCTGTGTCCTTTATGGGGTGCTAACAGGTGCCCCTAAGGACCCACACATAGCTCGTCTCTGCTGCTGTCATCTTATGCTGAGGCTAATTTGAGGTAATGAGAATCCAGCCACTGGTAATTTATTTGTTCTGCTGATGGTCTCTGCAGAGGGACAGAACGAGATACTTTTAAACTTGCATCGCTTTTCAGTGGCCAGATTAGCAGCTGTCAGAGATAATGGTAAAAAAACTTTGTGCTTAGGGGTTTAAAAACATTACTGTTTTTTGCACTTGTTTTTACAGCGGGCTGTTTACTCAGCCTCTCAAGAGAAAGCTTTCATGAATGAAAATAAGTTGGTCCTAAAGCACTAATTTTGTCTTGTTTGTCTGAAATGGCATTCACTTGACCTTGAATGAAGGTGGTGGGACCAGGTGTTCTCGTGTTCTCACACCTACAGGAGGGAAGATGGGCTTTGTAGCACTGCTCCTCTCACTCCTAGCCCGAGGGGTTTGGCAAAGCTGTGCTTGCCTTCTGCTTTCTGTGGAATGGGGAGATGGTGCTTGGGAAGGCACCTCGTTGCAGTCTCTAAATAGCTGGAGTTGCCCTGACACTGTGGTGCTTGCACACTGTTTTGGCC